GAGTGTCCCACAAGAGTGTCCTACAAGAGTGTCCCACAAGAGTGTCCTGCAAGTGACCCACAAGAGTGTCCCACAAGAGTGTCTCACAAGAGTGTCCCACAAGAGTGTCCTACAAGAGTGTCCCACAAGAGTGTCCTACAAGAGTGTCTCACAAGAGTGTCCCACAAGAGTGTCCTACAAGAGTGTCCCACAAGAGTGTCCCACAAGAGTTTCCTACAAGAGTGACCCACAAGAGTGTCCTACAAGAGTGTCCTACAAGAGTGTCCCAGAAGAGTGTCCCACAAGAGTGTCATTTTTACATATGTAGTTTTTCGAACGTGTTTACATTCGGGTTCGTGGGTTCCATCTTGTCTTTTCTAAGATAGAACCCCAACAGTAAACTGTTTGGGGAACAATTCCAAAGATTGTTGAACAAAGAAGAGTTTGCATAACAGAAAGCATGTACACTTACAAACCAGTTGATTCCCCCATTCTGTAGGCCAGAAATCTAATCTTGACCAGGTCTCATTTGAATCACAAAGCTCACAGCTTCCCTGCGTGGCTGCCAGGGGCCACACCAGCCACGCAGTGGCCAGCGCCAGGCACCACATGGCAACTCCAAAAGCCAAGCTCGAAGTAGAGGGGAATGGTTGAGGATGTATAGTGGAATTTCTTAGCCTTTTTAGGCTTTGTTTTAATCTTGCCGCCTTCCGTTCTGATATGATACTGCTAAGAAAATGTCATGCAGATGATACTTGCTTCCTAGTCTCCGTCCAAGATTGGACGCTATTCTGGCTAATCACATGCTATTTTGCCTTTGGCACATTTGGCTCCGAGGACCATGTTATGTCCTCCTAGTCTATCAGGCTACTAGAGCCGGAGTGACCTTTCGGTCATGTCCTTTCTGATCAAAACAGAGGTCATGTCTGGGTTCTAGGTACAGTATAAATCTCCATCATATCACAGAGGTCATCTGGGCACAATCCCATTCCCATTGCACAGTGATTCGGTCTCGCGCCCCCCTTCTGGCCATCTATCCAACTCAAAGGATCTCCAACATCAGGTGTGGAAACGCCCCTGACGCCATGTGCTTGGAAACGCACGCACAAGCCATTTGCAGATCAAAGGTTCCAATCGAAGCCGAACTTAGGCCGAACTTAGGTCAAAGCGGATCTCATCTTGATCGATCCCAAAGAGTAAACGATATGCATCCCTTGACAATGACTATATAATGACTGGCATATCTACCATCATCCCGGAACCACCCTCGATGTATGCAAATCTTCCGTACATGGAGTGTATGACAGTGTATGGGTGTAGTTGCATATCATATCCTATAAAGTATATGCAACTCAAATGCTTCTTGGCCTGCATCGTGCATCATTGTGCCTATAGCGGTCCTAGTATCGGTTTCTGGATGCAGCCATCTGCCCTAGTAGAGCAGCCATCTGGCTCATGTGAATACGATGAACTCTGGCGATTCTTTGGAAAGATTGTCATTTTGTGGCAATCCTTGTCATCTCAGCCACTTCAAACTACCGGTAAAATAGAGCTTCCACCGTCGTCGTGTCTTTCAGTCCATTTAGACCCTGAAGGCTTACTAAATTGACAGGCCATCCGAAAGTCCTTGCCTTTGGCGCCCGGGCAACAATCAGAATCAGCAAGAAAATTTGTTCATAGTCCCTGGCAGCCGCCCAGGCACTGGGATTAAAAAAGATTCCAAGACCAAGGCGCGATGGAATGGGATCAAAGTAATGGTCCGACAAAGACTGGAACAGTGGGAAGAACCACCGTAAACAAGGTTTAGGCACTCCTAGTCAGGAGGGCGATCAACAACCATGTTGAGAGGAGTAAAGTCCTTCACTAGGACTCGTTACCCAAATTTCCTTGCAGCTCGGCCGAGCCAGCTTCTGACATGGTGCCTCACTGGAGGGTTGTAGGTTCTATGGTGCCAAATTCTGTCTGTCAGCCTTGGAAAGAATAGTGAATGCCAACAGATATATACGGCTAAAGAAAACACACACGGGAATAAATATTAAAGAGATGCAGGTTCTCTTCCCCTCTCCTGCGTTGCAACAAAATCCTTCATCAAACCGAGGACATCGGACGGATAAAAATCATGTTGCTCTGCAGACTGGCATTTTTCATCTTTTTTCCATTGCTCGTCTGTTCATGAGTCTGCCAAGGATGACTCTACAGTGCGTTTGTGCGTGTTGGCCAAAACCCCAGACCCCTACTTTCACATGATGGCAACCAACGAATTGGGAATTCATTAATTTGATTGAGTGAAACGTCGCGCAACCCCAAAAAAACCGCAGGTCTAAGTCAAAACCCATCATAACCCCCCAAAAAGAATCATTCCGAATAGGTGGACGGTTTCGTCCCTCTCCACTCTCTACGTCCTGGGCGAACATCCATCCCACTGGGTCTGCCGACGAATTGGACTCTCCACAAACCTGGCGTTGTAGAGTTGCAGAGATCAAGGGGGGTCCCACCACCCAACCGTCCGCAGAGTTGCAGAGATCAGGTCGTCCCACGGACCCCATTCTCTGAGGGTGGGAGTTCGAAGCCCTGGTCGCACTCAAGACCCCAAAAAAGGTGAAGGTTTGGTTCGGGGTCCAAACCCCGGCGAAAATCCAAAGTGCTCCAAAGGAGGGTCTGATGCTTGAGGTGGATCATGTTCAGGGGACGGAAGTGCCAAACACTGTTGCTTGAACGAAGCAGTGCTCCGCGGGTCGATTGGCATCGACCCCAGTCCTCAGATGTCCTCAGTAAAAAGCCATGTGATGGTGCTTGGTGTTCATCAAGAGGCTGTCGGGATCTGCTGGGCACTTCAATACTATGGGATGTGTTTGTTGAACACATGGGAACAGTTGGATTTATTTCCCATCTTCATGGCTGCTTCATGACTGCATCGATGTTCTTCTTGGTTTTCTGCCACCAAAATACTCCCGAGACAAATCAATGACGGACTCATTCCGCGGGAAACCTTTCAAAGTCGTGAGAACATGTCACGTAAACGTGTTTCAAGGGAAACATCCATTTCACCGGGAAATCACGACAAACCAGATTTCAATCTTCAGACTTCGGTCTCACCAGTTCTGGGTGTTCAGAGTTTAGGAGATGCTTGATTTCTGCTTTAGTGCAAATTGCTTCGGGGTTTGCGAGTTTCCCACTACAGAAATGTTGCTACAATGGTTTTAAAACTAGATACAGTAGCACATGAAACATGGCATTGCTTGGCACCAAGGGTTCCCAACTCAGTTTCAAAGCAAAACATGTTCAATCACGTTCAATCATCAACCAAAATCCAGCAAATATGTCCGGTGGTCAAACAAGGACAAGAGACGTCACATAGTTTGTGTTGTTTTAAGAGCATCAGTTGAAGATCAAACTGAAGCCAAAGTCTAGTGACATTGGCAGAAGGATGCACCAGCGATGTATATATCCATGTTTTTGCAGAAATTTCAAGGGTCATCACCAAGATGTTCAGCATGCATCGATTTGGAAACATATACATAACATTCACCAATCCGAAGTACTGTAGATCACATGACAGGCCATTTGTTAGTTCCAGACTTGGAAGTTGCTCAGTTTGGTGAGATTGTTGGAATCATTGCGTGTTTGTTTGTATTGCCTCTGGGTATCTGAGTTGATTTAACAAAGCTTCACTTCTGTCTATGTCGGCTGCATAGATTAGGAAGAAGAGGATGCCATCAAAACAAAACAAAAACATGCGCAACATATCAACATATGTCTAAATGCACCAGAAACAACCTAAAACCAGTTGTTCCAAATCTCTGAAGTCAAACCAACCGACACCTCCATCTGGGGTTTCGTGGCGGCGCCTCGGCGAAGGCCACGCATTGCACGTCGAGACCTGGGACACGGTGCGCCCGGTCGGTTCCATCGCAGCAAGCCGTGTTCCGACCTTGTGGATGATGAGTGACATCTTTGGACCCAAGTCACTTCTGAGAAAGGACTGGAAGATTGAACAAGTTTTTCAAGTCCTTTTTTGCGCTTTTTGCTAGGTCAAGTCCTCCAAGTCCGAATTGACTTTCAGTAAGCCTCCTAAAAAAAAACGGGATCACACACTTGAGCGATGGTTTGTCTATAGTTGTTTCTCTTTCTTCGGACTTTAGGACCACTCGGACCACATCGACACGCAGTCGCGACACCTCGTGCGCCATCGAACGACCCCCGAAAAGATACACTGGGGCTGCGCGGCTTCGATTCGCAACGATAAAGGAGATTTTGTCCTGGGGCAAACGACGAAGCGAAGGAGGAAGGGGAGAAGCAGCAAGGCGAGCAAGGGAAAGCACAGCTGAAGTACTCTGCTCTGAAGTCATCCGCGCCTCTCTCTTCTGGGAATGGCGGTGATCCACCAACCCCGACCCCGCTCGGTTCGGACGATGAGCGGAGAGCGGGGGGATGCGGGGGGAGTGGCGTGTTTTTCTTCGGATCCTCCGGTGAGCGAGCGGTGGGCTGGGAGTGCATGGTCCGGTTTTTTGATCCACCACGTGACGAAAAGGACGGTCAAACACAGCACTTCTTCGGGTCGGACACATTGATGCCTCTGGTGTTCTCAAAAAATACACTCTTGGCCTTCTAAGCACTTCAGTGAAAGTTAGTTCTTCCACACAATGAGAGTTCTTTGTTGTAGGTATGCATGCTGGCTCGTTGTGAGAGAGGGTCGAGATAGAGGGTGCAAGGTTTCTGGCTTAAGTTTCGCGCTTACCATGGCACCCATGGCAAGCGCCCTGCCAGTGCTATGGATGGCTGCATGAAGCCAGCAGCAGCAGCAGCAGCAGCTTTGAAGCGTCCAGCTTATGGCAAGAAGCCAAGGACCGAGTTATGTTGATGGGCACAAGACGTGGGTTTGGGGTTCACTGACCGGAGTTACAAGCGGCTGAAGCCGCAGGTTTCAAGCGCTCTGAGCCATAACGTGTTTTTTTTCTTTTTTTACATCAGTTTGTGCAGTGAGGATCACGTGCACTGGACAGAGCACAAGAGAAGGAAAAACACAGCGCGAGATTGTTTTGCTTGCTCGGTGGTGCTACCACAAATCAATTCAAGAAACAAAGAACCCAAAGAACCCAGATTCACTAAAGAACCAACCTTGGGCAAAGTTTTTTGCCAATAACGAAGCAATATTTGGGTCCATATTTTACCTAACCTGGCAGTCTGGGAAAGGTGCCAGTACGTCTCTTCGAGGGGATGCTTCAAAAAGCGAGCAAACCTCCTCAATGCTGATGGTTTCGTATCCTTCATTGAATTCGTGAGTTGAATCTAAACTCCTAAGTTGTCTGTAATTAAGTGGCACACGAATGGCACGGATATAAACTCTAGACTCTCTGAAGACGAGGTATGACCTGCCTTAACTATACTCCTTCGTACCCAGCTCCCCAACCCCTCTCGGGTGTCGGCAGCCCCCTTGTTGTCAACCTCAAGGTTTTGCCAGGTTTGAAGTTCGTTGCTTCGATCGATCAGCGCTCTTTCTTCGTTCCTCGCTGTCCTGAACCGGCGCGGGTGCGCTGGGTGTCAGGAGTCGGACGAGCAGAAGCGGACGAGCCAAGCTGCCCACGAGGCGTTTTTCGCCTCGCGCCGGCTCGGTCAAGACTCGCAGCTGTCCTTCTTTCTGCATGAACTTCATGTCTGTGTTCCCTTCCTGACAACACCTCGCTGCCCAATTGGTTCTCCAAATGCTGCGCCTGCCAGCGAATCTGCACCAAAGTGCTGCGTCTACGGGGATATCTGCACTTCAAGGTCCACAAAGTGATGCACTGGCAGCAAGAGCACGTCCAAGGACAACATCAAGATGCTCAAGAGCAAGGAAGTGCCACTTAATGCTCAACAACTCTCAGCTGCTCTTGAGCAGCAAGATGCCCAAAACCCACTTTTTTTCGCTCAAGAGCAAGGCACTTCCTTCAACTCTCAGGTGTGCTGCCACTGCCAGTGTGGCCTTCCACTTCTTTCCAGGCGGTCGCGCTGCTCGTTCGAAGGGCGGCTCCGCGGTCGAAACGCCGGAGCTGCACCCAGCAACTTCGCACAAAGACTGCCATGACGTGACGGCAGATTGCGGCGTCACAAGAAGCCGTACCTGGCTGGACCACTTGATCCCTTTGATCAGATTCATGCCCAGGCTGCTCGTATTCTGTCTCTGGCAAAGAGGACGATCGTCTTCCAAAAATCATGAACTGCGGAGGATTGACCAAATAGTTCTCAAAGGCTGAGTTCATGAACAACCCTTAAGAATTTGCTGAGTTTGATGAAGGTTTGATCTTATTGGGTGACAACTATTCGGAATCGATGAGTGCCGGAGTATCCGAATGGAGGCCCACTTGAGGGTACATAGAGTTCCTATAATAGTTACCCTATACGGGACCCAACTCCGGTTGATGGAACATGGTCGTTTCTGAAGGAAGCCTGAGGTGTTCCCAACAGGTTTTGGTACGGGTCATGGCTTTATGGTACGGGTCTATTTGTTCGGGTTGAGCATTGAACAAGAAGAAGCTTCTGGGTACCCGAGGTGTAAAGAACAAGCCAGAGGTATGGTTGATTTCACCAAAAGAAACAAGGCTTCCATTGAGACCCTATGAGGTATGCTTGTAGGTATGCTACTTGTCGATCACCTCTCTGCCGCACTTCCCAACCAACCCCATTTGAGCCCAGTGGTACACGGATGACATGGTTCTCTCCATGGACATCCAATGATCAAATTGAAGAGTGTTGATAGGAAACACTCCCAAGACAAGACAATGGAAATGGATGGCATGGTTCGTTGGATGATCATGTTCCGAATACCAAGCAGGCATTTTAACCCCGCTCCTGGTTCCGGCCACAGAAGCCCTGGCTTTGCTGTAGTTTTACAGAGTAGCCTGGCCGCTGAGGTCTGTCTCACGCTGGACTCAAACCTGACCTCGGCATCTAGGGATCCGAAGCCACTGGCACTCGAACAGATTCGGGGTGGTCAAGAAGGGCTCCCCTTCAAACAATCAGCGGAAGTGAAGCATTTGTCCTGAACAGAAGACGAGTTTGTCAACTTCCATGTGTGTTGGAGAGAGGGTACTGACTGGAAATGATTTAGATAAGTCCCAGAAGTTCCAGCTTGGATTGGTTAGCAGATGTTAGTAGACCCCAAATAAGTGTTTTTCGGGTGCACGATGTTTTTCCAAGAACCAGCCGAACTCCACGGAACCCAAGCATCCCGAGTCCTCCTTTGTATACAAGCATCTACTAAGCATCCAAGTGGACCATTAGGCTACATTAGGCTCCTGGAAGAGCATCTTGAGCACCTATATGAGGTTTTTAGTCCTGGCTCTTAGAACCGCTGAAAATGGGGTTCTCTCTGCTCTGACGAGGCAAAGATGTTCCTGTTTCCCTGAGTCCTCAAATACCTGGCCTCTCCACCACCCGGCCCCGATCCCACCCGTTCAGTCCAACACCCGCCCGCCTCGCTGCTCCACATGTCCGGTGCCTTCGTCACAGGTCACGGAGAAACAGCCGAAGAGCCACCCGCCTGGCGACGACGCGCAGCGTGGAGGGTCGGTCGTGAGCAGGCGAAGACGACGACCCGCGGACGACGAGGTCGTGGACGGACGTGAAAAGGTGGTCGAGGTGGTCGGACGGTCGAAGGACAATGGGGCAGGCGGATGGAAGGCTGATTGAAGAGGAGTCGCGGAACAGATGATCGTGGCGTTTGCAGTTTAGCCTCCTGTTGGTGTCCTGCAGTTGCCCCACTTGGGTGACCAACTTTAGAATGAGGTAATCCTCAAAGATCATGGGCGTGGCCGTCAGTCCACCTACAAACACAGAGTTTGGTTGCAGGAGCAACTTCAAACCCACGGCTTGTCAATGAGGGGAAGCTACAGAAGTTCTTCCGTCGTCCAGTTGTGGTCTCAGGCGGTGTGCATGTCTTGCATGTCCAAGTTGAACAGTTTGGACTGTGGTACATTGGATATTTATGTTTGTGGTATTTCATGGTATTTCTGGGAAATACAAAAACTGTTTGGCATTGTTTTGCAATATCATCGAAGGGCAATCTGCTCAAAATCCACCACTGGGCTGCAGAACTATATGTTCTTTTTTTGCACTCCACCCGGGAGCCCGAAACTTTCTCGAGGAAATGGGTGAAACCGAGGCCGACTTGACTTGGTCAAGCGGCAGCCGGAGTCGAGCTTTCCCTGTCCAAAGCCCTCTATAGTTGGAAAGACACGCAAATTGCCCGCAGTCTGTTTCGGGGTTTGATTCTTGGATTGTGTATAGTTCAGAATCCATCGTTTCTGGAGCCTCTTTGACACTGGTGTTCGTGGCTCCGCATTTAAAGAGACTCGCTCCTCCTTACCCGCCCTTGATGTATTATCTCATGATGTCTCGTCTAGTTGCGTAGTGTGTCATCCTCTGCATGCCACTCGTTTCAACGCTAGCAACGGTAGGTCGTCTCTTTACGTTCGGACTCTTGGTTCCCACCCGTGTCGCCCAGCCCTTCTTGGGAGCAACTGCTGTAGTCGATAGAGCTCGAGCCCCTGATAGTGAGTGTTGCTTATTACTCTCCCTAGGGCTCCAAGGACCTTCTTAGAAGGTGTTTGGGGTGGGTTTAGAGGGTCCAAATACCTTCTGGGGGGGTACGACTGGAGCCCTAGGGTCTTGGAATGTGAGATTACCGGTGGAGGAAAACCCACTCCCCAACGCAATCAAAAACTGCTGTTTTTTTCCACCAGCAGGGCACACCAGGAAAACGCAAAATAGCGACAAAAGTCTCAGCAAAAAAATCAACACGCATATAATATGGGTTTCGTTGTACTTCAACATCAAGTTCCCAATACCATAGACTGTTTACTGTAGAGTGACCCCCCAAAAAATAGCTTGAAAAGTGAATCCACTAAAACTGTTTTGAAAAACCATTTCCTGCCTAACTCTGAAGATCAATTCTTTCGAGTGCACACGACTGTGCTCAGCTTCAAACCGTTGACATCAGGAAAGCACTGACACTGTTTGACATCCCCCTTGGGGGTGCCTCCTATGCCCACGCGCGTGGGAACTGAGTGAAATGGTTCCTGAAGTACACTCGGTGAAAGGCAGGAATCCCTTATGGGGCTGGTCAACACTGAAAACAAACTCCAAGTGCCAGCTGCTTCCAACGGATCACCAATGAACACCTCGCCCTACTTAGGAATCCCTTATGGGGCTGGTCAACACTGAAAACAAACTCCAAGTGCCAGCTGCTTCCAACGGATCACCAATGAACACCTCGCCCTACTTATAGGTCTCCAAACAGGGCATTTATTGGATGCACTAGGTAGGTCTTAAAGAAGACACTATATTGATGTCATGATTCCTTGCCGGTCCGGTGGGATAGCCTGGGTTCCAGGTTTCAACTCCTTTTGCTGTTTCGAAGCCAACAAATGGGCAACAAGTGTTGGCCCAAGTTCTGCCGCAACAAACGCCTGGTGGTTACGTCTGATACATAAATCAGCACTGAAATTCAGCCTTTACTTTCATCCATGCTTGCAGTAGGTTGACTTGTCCAAAGACCTGCTCCAAGGCCATGCAGCCATGCAGATCGATGATGTTGGAAGGAGCCGAACCACACAAGGATTCCAAAAAGAAGCTATTAAATCTATCGCCATGTTGTTCCAACACAACCAGTTTTTTCTTCAACAAATTCGAAGAAAGCAAGAGCTTCCTCCAAAAGGACGTGGGATATTGAATCAGTTCATGGATTTATTTACGGTATGTTATTATATGTTACTATATGATGTGGATGCTCCAGGCCTATCCCTCATCAACACCAGCAATTTGGCCATGAACTATAGCAACTATAACTATTGTGTACAGTAAACCGCCTGGGAATGACCAACACGCTGGTCGGAAACGCTCCCACATTTTATGATGCCTGACGATGTTCTTATAGTGACCCCTAGGAGAAGTGGATCCTCTCTTGGAAATGCATATACTTGGAACTCCAATGTATTTTGGTACAACATGTGGACATCACTCTTTGATACTTCAGAACCTCGAACAGCCCCACAAAAAAAGGCGCGTGCACGGTGTGTCCGCTCGGACACATATCTCCTGCCTCACTGGAGGCCTGGAAATGGGAGATCAGGTGAGGTGAAGGACATTGATGAGTACTCGATGTGTTCATCTGTTTTGCGTTTTGTGGTTTGAATATAAAAAAGGAGTTGCCCGATTGGTGGTCTTTGGTAATTACTGGATCCAGGGAACACATCACGCGGAAGTGGAAAGCACCCTGTTTCTAGAGGGAAAGTCGTCTTCCAGTATTCCAGGGGCCCATTTTCCACTTCCATGTTAATGAGTCAGAGTGTTGTGAGTTATTGACTCTCTTGAAAGGAAGCTGCCGTAGAAGCAAGAGAAGACCTTCTGGTGGTCCTCTAGATTGCTTGAGGGGAGTCTCCTCCCTACGCCGAGGGGCCAAGCTGACCGGAAAGGTAGACCTGGTCTGAGATGTGAACATGACCACAGCTGTGATCAAGGCTAGTAGATCTGGTCCCCCAAGCTGAATCAAAGCCATAATACAAGTCTGGAGGTGCAGCAACCCCTCATCGAGAGGACCGCGAGGCTGGCTTCATGAAGAAACGACTTAAGTCATGCTTCAGAGTCCTTTGGAGTAGTCCAATCTGAGTCAATTCAGTTCCTAATGTAGAACCAGCAGACTATCTATCCTATATTATAGGTACCCCACTAGGGTCCTATATTCTAAGGTCACCTAACCTCTGCTGGAATCTTGATGAACAACCCTGTCGGCCGCTTTTCTTTGGCTCAGTCTTCCTCTACCGTCTTATAGTGAGCTGGCAGCTGTAGAACAAAAACAGCTGGCAGCTGTATGGGTACGGGTGATATAGTAACTGATATATGGCCCACAACAAGTACATGTTCAACATGGGTAGCTGCCTCTCATATTATTTCCAACACCTTCCAAAACCGACACTATTACATGATACTATATGTTTTTGTTTTCTCGCAACAAAACTACTCAAAACTGCGACTCCTGAACCTGCGTGCGTGTTTTCTCCCTGATATTATTCAATGAACTCGCACAAAAGCACTCACCCCCCATCATCCCTCCACCCATCATACAAACGAGTCTGCCGGCCAAGCCGCGTTCAGAACGTTCGTGGGCTCAGCTCATGTTTTGCGTCTGCGCTGCCATCTTCACGGCCTCCTTCGCCTGAAACACCCAAGACACCCACCATTCGCACGGGTGGAAGTGTCTTAAGACTCTTAAGACGCCCGTGAGCCTCCCCTCGATCATTGGCTGTGATTGAACTAAACACGTCCTGGAGTCTTCCAGGCGAAAACTAAATCTTTTCCCCGCCCATCGCCGGCGCCATTCCTGACCATCGTCGCTGGGCAAGGTGCTCTGACCAAGGTCCGCGTGAAAGCGGCGATGTCCCCACGGCAACGCGTGAGCTGATGGTTGACGCTCTTCAGGCGGTGCTTACCTCGGAGAAAGGCCATGGATGATGCTTGCAGAGAGCTTTCCTGAGGTACCGTAATACGTGCTTTTGGTGCACCAGGTGCGCTCCAGTGGATGAAGAAATGATGAAAAAACACCCTGAACTGGTTCACTGAAACTGGAACCATGACTCTATGTAGGAAACACGGGCTTGGAACTGCAAGTTCAGTGGATCTGCAAGCACCCCAGGTTCACTAAATATATGGATCCTGAAACCGGCTTTCGGAACCTTCACAAGAGCTTCGGGTCCATGTATGTCCATCAGAGTTCCCAGCTCTCATGCTCGCTGGGACAAAGAACACACTTGATGCACCCCTCCAACCATCTCCAACCTGAAGAGGAGCTCTAATGTACCAGGGAACCCAAATGTGCATTTGTTTTTGTTCAAACACGTTCGCACAAAAAATCCGTGCATCCGGCCTTTTTTGTGAAATGGACAAATTTGCTGGAATTCCTCCGAATATTGGGTTTGATCGGGTTTTATCAATATAATTGTTTGGGTTTTTGTCAATAAAATGTTGATAAAGTTTGGGTTTCATATGGGTACGCTTTTGTACGGTATTGTTTCTTTGTCCATACGGCTAAATACGTTAATTCGTTAATTAACATGGTCCATATATATACGATAAATTCTGTCCAAAGACGGCCTTCGCACAAAAAAAAAAGGTGTTCATACACCTTTCCAGGTAGACTCTTGAATGGGTTACTCCTCCCAATTATCCATCTGGTCTCTGAAGGGCCATGGACGACTCGTCCCAGGCATCCTTCGCCAAGTGACTGGATTCAATGAATCCTTCGACCTCATCCACCTCGGGCGAGGGGGCTAGGTGTTTGTCGCATCTAGCTATCTTCGGATGGAGGATGTAGAATGCTCAGGTACCCCAAGCTACTTGGAGGATGTAGAGTGGTGTCCAGGGTAGGTAAGTCACCATTTTGCAGGTACCAAAGGTGATTACTTTAAGATGTCTTAGATACCTGGTATCTGTGGGCAGTGCGTCCAAATCCTTCATTCCATATGCGTTTGACCGCCCCCAAGTCCGGTCCTTGCGATTCTGGAATCTGCATTCACTCCTTAGGGTACCACAACCTGAGGGACCTGATTCCGATGCATTCAGGGAGTTTCCGGGGGGCGTGCACATGAGTGGCTGCCATCGCAGAATCCAGAAATTGACTTCCGGGTCACTTCAATAGGCACACGGCTCTGAGGGGGTTGATCCACAAAGTCATTAGGATCACACACACGGCCAAGCACAAGTACTGCTGAGCAATCCGATTGGAAACTCTCTTCTAAATCCCAAAGGAAAGCAGGTCTTTGGCGGCTCTTTCATGCCACCAACAGAAGCCCCTCGGCCCTCAAGTGCGGTAAAAACAATCTTTGTGCACCAACAAAAACATGTCTTATATCCAAACACTCCATACATGCCATATATGCCGCCCCATTGACCCCCCAAAACCACCCCAATGTAAGCATCATATATGGCATACATGGAGTGTCTGGGATATCATCTAAGCTTGGACACCATTCGCTCCTAGGCACTGTTACAAAGGCTTCATTAATCTAAGCTTCGTTCACTTCCATGCCAGGCAGAAAACGGTGGTTTAACTACCCCGGCTAGGCTATATCGTCCAATTCTCAGGACTTGCTTTTTAGCTTTTTAGATCTCCATGCCACGCCGCATACTTACTCCTTTCCTCTCCGTTACTCGGGTCGACGGGACCTCGGACGACTCCTCGGGTCAGCGGACACTCAACGGACAGAAATCCGTCAAAGAGAGGTTGCAACATGTTGGGAACCACATCCTTCAAAGCTATAGGAACAACGTCCCCCCCCCGGGCAGCCCATCCTTTTTCCGGGAAAAAGCGTGGAGCAAATCTGTTGTGCCTGTCACCCCATCCATCCTCCCGTCTCGACGCCCGAGGCACGAAGAACACCCGCGGCGGCTATCGCCGTGTTAAACTGGTTGACTTTTGGTCCATTGGGGTCGTGTAACAAGTCCGGTAGAGCCATGTGTTGTTTGATTTCTTACGGGTAACATATGGTAAAATGCCGTGTGTGTGTGTGTGTGTGTTGTGTCCAAATCCTTTGTAAAACAATGATGGGATTATACTTTGGTATACGGTTCAATCAAATCAATCCCAGACACGACCCATGGGACTGCCATAGGACTGCCGCCCCAGACAGACCCCCAGTCAACCACCCCAAGTGATCGGCAGTCCGGACTGGCAGTCCCAGTAGTCGTGTCTGGGAATGGTTGGAAGCCTAGGGACTGACATCTCAAACTGCCGCAGCTCCTTGGACCTCACTGCCGCCGCACCGGCGAACCGGGCACGGAGGTGTGGATGCATTGTGGGACTGATCTTCAATCGATTCAGGTACCAGCACCTCCTGAAGTCGGGGGAACACGAATAGACTACCCTATAATCCTATAGAAGATATTATGAACATACCAGCACCTTCAAAGGGGTCACCTGGCTGGAAGCCCCTACACCACTAAGGGACCTCCATTAGACACCCCTTGAAGGTCCAGGTATATACTTAGTGGATCAGAAAGTGGATGTCTGGAGGTGAAACGCACCCTAAGGCGAAGGGTTCAGATGGGTTCAGGTACTTTGACGTCGGGGGGGGGTTTGGGTGGACCGCGCTGGTATTTTTGGGCTGGTAGATGTCAACACAACGATAGACATATGAGGTAAAACAAACAAAACTGTTCAATGACTGAGTGGTGTTTGGCCATGTTTCAGGGTCCCTTGGCCATGAGTATTCCTAACCCTTGATTAGGGGATCAAACCACACCGATTGGCTGAACCTGCGCTTGGCAGACTCAAATGTCCGGCTGCGCAAAGCTGTGAAGAAGACATCGTCACCCAGTTGGATCATGTTTGAGGTCGGAACTCAAGGTCAACCACTGAGATTTGAGTTTGTTTCACTGACTCCCTTGTAGCTTTTCCTGAAAAGTAAAGATGGTAAAGGTTATATACAGTAACCATGTTCTGCGTTTTTCCTGTGAAACATGGTTTAAAACCGTTTTGCAGTTCATCATCTTTTCCTGGCTAGGTTCATGTACCCCAGGAAAACCCACGCATGAAAAATCCCCATGAAGAATCCCCTCTGAAACCCGTGTCACCGCTTCGATGTTCTTTTGCAAAGACCCCAAAAACACGTACCCTCCCTGGAAACGGAAACATCCAGAATAATCTGGAAACCCATCCAAGTGGAAAATGGATGAACATGGCCTTTTCGTAGAGGAACACAGTCTTCCTGTCGGGGCCATGTTCCACTGCCATGGTTGTTGAATGGAGAGTGCTCTCTTGTTTAGGATGCATGCTTGGCTTGGAAATCAATCTTTGGATGATTCTGTCCAAAACTGCTTGGAACATCCTGAGTCACCCTGCTTTAAAAGGCTCAACCTGCAGCAATTATATACCACCTTGTTGATTTCCCCAGACTAAAAAGAAACAGGAGGATATGGAACCCCGGCTCCGCAGTCGCTACCTCCGCAGTCGCACCAGCTAGCAACTCACGTATTGTGTCTTGCAAAACAGAAAGAACAGAAAGGTGAGACATAGTGCTAAAAGTAGCATGTTTCATGCTGTGTCCATTGAAGATTTCCCCATGTCCGCGTTGCACAGCTGTCCATCTCTCCCTTGTTTGGATGGCCAGGTAACAACTTCAAAATGTCCTTCGACCTCACTCCGCCCAGGCGGCGAGTGATTCGATCTCACTTCCCTCTCGCCCTCTCGCCAGACTTCGGAAGACTCGATACAGTATAGAGGGTGGTCTGTCCCACCAGTAGAGGTCAGGTTCAAATCAAGGATCATCCATCCTGGGGTATCCTGGCTGGAGGTCCATATTATACGACTTGCGTTTTCTCTATTAGACTTTCATGAATAACTGGCGATCCATGGAATGATCCATTGGATGATCCAGGTATATCCATATATATATATGTTTCATTGTGTCAACAGGGTCACCTTCTTCACCCGGTTCACCATCGTCAGACCAACGAACCAACGTGTCAACAGGGTCACTCGATTTCACCGCACGCGTGGCCACCTTGGCTCGGTATCCACTCTCCACTCTGCACCGGGAGTCCAACACACGTGGCTCACCGGTTTAGTCCAAATTCACAAACGATGAGGTGCCCATCATCCATTGGAACACCATGAAATATTGGGCACCTTGTTTTGTAGCACAATCACTCATTTGGGCCCGAACCCACCAAAAAAAACATGTGTGGACACCGTGAGGAGGGAAATCAAGCACAGTCGATCGGCCAGGACTTCTTCAGCGGCTGAAACAACAAAAACACATATACGCATTCGATCTCAGCCGTGGGTGCCTGATTGAAACATGTCCAATGCATAAACAACATGCTTCTGGGCTTTAGATCCACATAAATCCACTTCATTGCTGTTCATTTGGACTCGCAGGAACTACGCCACACAACAAGATAGGTCATTTCACGAGTGCACCCAACAAATCTTCTTTCCGCACCGTCCAAGAGGCTTGGCTTCACCTCGGAGCTTCCGAATGCCGGATTGGAAGGCCTCCACCTCCAGTTCGCCCTGCCCATCGTCCAGGATATCCTGGCTGGAAAGGATCCAAAGCGGACACAAAGCGTCCGAAGTGCTCCGGGAAGTTGGAACCAGAAGAGTCGATGTGACGCCAACTGGTGGTGAGGATCCAGAGGCACTTTCAGGTTCATGTACAGTTCATATTTGTTTCTACGGGCTTCTATGATTCCAACAAAGCGGGGAAAGAAGGCATCTGTATGTAGATGCTTCTTCAGCTTAGATCAAACATCTCCATACATCTCCTATAGCCCTTGGGCTTGGCAGCCGAATTAGCAACGAAAGTGCCCAATTTGAGGCATGGAGGCATGACTGTGGTCCATACATCCGGATTGATGTGAGCAGTTGTCTACATCACAGGTGCCGGTGCTGGGGAAAGACCATGATCAGGTTCCCCCCTGAGGGAATCGCCGGTTGGTCCATCAGCGCACTCAATGGGCAAAAGCGTGTGGCAGGGGCCAGAGTCACGCGGGAGTCACGTTAGAGTCACGCTGGAGTCACGTTAGAGTCCCAGTTGTTTATATTCAAAACTGGTTCGTTAAACGTGTTTGATAAATAAAACTTCGAGTGAGGGGGAAGTCACGCTAGAGTCACGGTAGAGTAACCATCCCAAAGACATTGAGGAATTCATTGGGAGAATCACAAACAAATAGGAAGCAAACATGAAAAGTACTCTAAACCACCAGCCGTCCATGTGTCTCGACACATGGAATGTAGCAACACTGACACATGTCGCAGCGAGACGGGAGTAATTAGTAAACTCTTGTACACTCACTGGTCCAATCATGATCATGACGAAGAAAGAAGCCAACTCTTCACTCCAAAAGGAGCCATGGCCGCCATGGCCTGGCCAGGCCTGTGTCTCTCTCCGCACCACTCCAGCGCGTCAGCCCAAGCCGCCCAGACCCGATCCGAGAGGCCCAGAGCTCGTCGATGTCTTTGGGCATGATGTCCAAGGCACGCAGCTTGTTCCGAATCTTTCCTCGGCTCTCTGCTTGTCAGTGCACCGGAGCGGAGTCACCACCCCATCCAGGGTGTATGTATATTATATCTATGATCATCTATGATCTATGCGTCTATAAGTCTATAAGATCTACTGATGAAAACAAAGGACACATGCAATATAAAGGACACATTCAACACACACGCACACACTTTCATGTGCTTTTGCATGCGAGGGTAATTTGTCTGAGCATCTGTATGTTTTGGCGGAACTGGAGTTCCGGATGGTGGTGGAAGACCATGTGGCATTGCTCCGGTGCAAAGACTGATAGTAAGGGATGATCTTATACACACCTTAGACCTTAAAGTGTGTCATCAACCTTCGCTCAAGCCACTTGAGACATCAGGTACCATGCCAAGTAGTCAGCAAAACGGAAAACAATAAATCTATACAAAACCAACAAATGTGTGAACTTGGGTGGCGCGTGTATATATATATATATATATGCTTCGCCCACCAATCGAGATACCACTTGTTGTCCAAAAGGGCGAGCCAAGCGTCTTTGCTTCGTGGCCTTGAAGAACCTGATTTGGCGGTCAAAACAGGCACCAGAAGCTTGGAACTCACTCTGGTAGGTTGATCTCCCAAGTAGTCGACTTCTCTTGATGTTCTGGTGTTTTGCTTTTTCTGACTTGTGCTTACTAGGGAATGAGGGTGGCTGGGTCTAATGGAATCCCTATTGAGGGCTCATTCCCTTATTCCCTACTAAGCACCAATCAGTTTTTGTTGCATTTGTTCTTCCGTTGCAGCTGAGCACGAGGCCACTGCGGACTGCAAGTCTTGAATGTTTAATAAAACATGTGACAATGTACCCAAACCATCCATGTATGATAAACATGTATACCTAATCTACCTAAATTGGGGGGGTGAGGGGTTTCGGGGGTTTATGTATAAATAATATGCCATACATGGACTGTTTGCGATAGTAATTCCCTCTCAAAACAAAAGTTACACTGACAAACCACCCCCAGCAGATGTTGCTTAAACAAAAAGCAATCATCTTCCAAACAACCTAATTAGTTTTCTATGTGGGCTTACGACAGGGTATGCCGCACGCGGACCAATCCTGAGATGGATCACCTTATGATAATCACTCTCAATACACAAACTGTTGTAATTGATTCTATCTCAAATGTTGTCAGATGGCATGAGTGAGTAGTCCATCACTCCAGTTCTACTCTGGGTTTGCAGCACATCACCTCACATCACCCTCAGCCAGGGCACTCCTGCTTCGTCAGGGAGCCACTGCCATCCAGGTCGATCTGCAGGAAAAACCTCGACGGGGCGACGTCGAACCCTGGCGGTTCCGTGTCTCGGAGCGTCAAGCGGCGAGTTTTGACCTCCCACGGCAGGTCGAGTTGAAAAACAGCAGACGGATCGGCGGAGAGGGGTGTTTCAAACGTTTGTGGTTCTGTTTTTTGGGGGGGTACACCTGCAGGAACTGGAAAAAGGGGTCAAGCCTTGTGGCCGCTGCGCTCCAAGAATGATAGAAGTGTTTGTCATGTTGTCACCCATTTTTTTTGAGGGTCATGATTCGTTGTGATGTCTAAAGCATCAGGGTAACCACCTCCCTGATGTTGAGATTTGGAGACACGAAGATTTCAGTAATACAAAGATTTGGGGACAAAACCCGGATGTTCACCACCATTTGGGAAACACATGGGGGTTTTGGGACACCAAACACAGCCCAAGCACTGCTTCAGATCCTCCAGCTCTTCTTCCTTCTCTCGCTCCATTCGGATGGCCAACTCCTTCTCTTCACTCTTCGAATCCTCGTCATATCAGGCGAAAATCAGCTGAGAGGAAACTCTTCGGATGACCTGTTTGGGGGAGTGACTCGTCCAATCCACAGGTCAAATCTACGCAATATAGCTGTGGTGAAAAAGCACATTTAAACATACTAGATTTATTATATTGATTAAACTAGAATACTTCATTTATTGCATATTTTTACATACATTGACCTCTGAAACCACCATAAAGCCACCCGAATGTATCAGTATTATATGCCTATGTCAGGGGGACTGTCTGAGAATTATCCTGAATGTGCGGTGGTATGTTGTTCCACAGCTTCCTGTACACAGCCTGCGACCACGGACACGCGACTGGTCACGGACATGCGACTGGTCTTCACAACTTGAAGCTGGACGACATCAAGGGCTGGTGGGGTTGGTGATTGCAAACATGACTCTCGAGCTGTTTCCCTGAACAATACAACTTCAATCGAATTATACAACCTTTTGCGCCTGTTCTTGTTGAGTGGAGAGACCAGGTCCCGAGAAAAGGTTTTGCAGCTTTTTGTCAACACCCGAGGGAGGGAAAAGGCTTACCCGTGGAAGCCTCCTGCGTTTTTTCAAGCCTCTTTGCAACATGACAAATTCGGCAAGGCGAACCTATGACCTTCAGTCATGGCCCATCCCTGCAAGGCGCATAAAAGGAAATGACAACACGGTTGATGGTTGGCACCCATTGAAGCCGGTCCTAATGTTCCATGGATATGACAGTAAGATCAACTCATCATCTCTGAAAAACTCAGAAACGTCAGAGGTGAAATTGCAACCACCAACCACCAAGTTAGCATCGAATCAAACTCGTCCCTTGGAGCCTTTGGCTCCCTTGCCACGGACCTGGATCTCACCTGGCGGTGTGCCTGCATTCTGCCTATCCCTCATTCGAGACTTGAAGCGTCTAATGGGAGCTCCTCGAAAGTCATCGAAATTGTAAACCCCTTGAAAGTCATCGAAATCGTAAACCTGGGCTGCCACAAACACTTGCCACCCACTTGCTTCATGGTTTGCCTGGTGCTGCTTCAAGCAATAGAGCCGGCGATTGTTGTTACTGTAGAAGGTTCCTTTCCACCAGACCACTTCCAAACACATTTTTTGGATGGTTGCGGGGGTTCACGGACCAGTTCTCCAAATCCGAGATCAAGTCTTCAAGCCACCTCCCATCTTTAAACCTTTTGGCGATACCGGGCTGAGTATATTCAATCTCCTGAACTCGCAGCATCATGTGTTTCCATTTGGAATCGGAAGCGAAGGCCCTTCGTTTGCTTCTCCTCCGTTGTGGCAGCGGCCGGCGAATTGGCTCAGCATTTCATATGCTAAATCTGGCTCTAGGCCCCTCACCAAGGACGCCCTGCCCTCCGAGCTCACCGCTTGCAGCAGTTTCGGGTCAGGGGCATCCGGGCGAAGCTCCACGATGTGATGCACCGGCTCGCAAGCGGCCGACGGCTGGGGGGGTGATGGAGTTTTCAAACGACTGCAGTTCACCAGTCAGTGGATGAAGAGTGAAACTCAACGTACGCGACACAATGAGGATGACAGGGAGCTCCTTTCCAGAGTCAACCAAAGATCTAAAAGATCTATAGAGGTTCTTGCGGTGACGGTCACCTTGAAGGTGTGACACTAGTCGATTGTGCATGGTCTTGTGGGCTCGCGTTGGGTCATGTGCCAACATGCAATTGCAAACAGGACATTCGGCCAATGGCATATCCTCAAATCGCTCTAGAATCCTTGCTCTCAATAATCGAGCAGGTCCAGCAAAATAGTCTGACCATTTATCCTTGGTCTCCAAAGCAACTTGTCCGTTTTCCTGCGTCCAACATGTGCCAATTTCACACTCAAAGCCTGCTTCTTCAGCTGCTTGCTTGACCTTGTGGCCATCATCAATTGGATTTCTGTTGAGCTTGAGCAGTAGTTGACTGTCGATGTCTCGTCGTGTCTGAAGTCGTTGATGGAGCCTGCGAATTAGTCTCATTGCACCCTCTGTTGTGATTCGATTGTCATCTAAGTTGATAAATTGAAGCTTGCAAACATAGTTTTCCAGCAATGTGAAGCAATCTTCAAGGAACGTGTCATCAAGATCATTCCCTCGCAAGTCCAAGCCGTCCTGCAATCCAGCACAGCCCAAATTGAACAAATTGGAGAGGAGCCTCATGCATTCTTCAGAGCTGTCTCTTCTGCGAATGGTTGACCAAATCTGCCTCAGGTCCACAAAAGCTCTGAAGCCGCGCAGGTGAGCATTTCGAGACTCCAAGTCCTTGCTGATTGCTTCTAGGTCCTTCCTGATTGCTTGCGTCATCGAGTCTGACTTGGCACCACCTGAGTCATATCTCCACGCTCGCACTTGTACAGTGCGAGTGAGATCATCCCAGTTCACCTCCACACCGCCATCTTGGACAGGCTCATCGCTGCCATAGCTCATTTTGAATTTGTCAGATTCGTTTCTGGGGAATGTACTAACGTGATAGCAGGGGGGTATCTTTTGCTTGGCAGGGCACCAGGTTGCCATCATCTGTTTGTTGCATGAACACACGCGACATGAAGATTTAGATATTCATGAATCACTGGATAATGTCTTTAGTATGTCTTTGGTCTGATGCCCATTGCCCATGTTTTAACAGCCGAAATACCACAAGTCCCCGGTGGAAAAAAAAAAATCGCCTGTCAATGTCACAGCATGAATTCAAAGCACTAGGGTTCCAACCACATCCTTAGAGAGTCGTTACACCCCCAAAAAAAATAAACCACCCCAACTACAGAACTCGCTGCCTTCGAAACGGAGGTACACTCCATGTAACCACTCCAAAGGAGTGGGTGTGGCACGTTGGGCATGGTTTCTCACCTCTAGGAACCACGAAGAAACGCACCGGTTTGGAACTCCCATCCACCAGCGGTTGGTTCGCTTCCAGCCAACCGGACCGGGACAAACGGACGACCTAGATCCGAAGCTGCGTGGTCAACGGCCCAGACCGTGGTCAACGTCTCACGCTCCCGAAACCGAGGCTCTCCCCCATCTCGACCAAAACAGACACACGGGCGACCCGAGCGGCGGAGAAACCGGTTTCCACCACGACGGCGGTCACCAGATTCAGCATCACGAAGACACCGACCGCAATGAAGAGAACGAAGAAACCAGCTGAGAGCAGCGGAGGGGTCCGCCGTTTTTTTCGACAAGGCCAGCGAAGTAATTACGTTTGGTGTGCAGGAAAAGTGGTGAAGTGGAGGCAAAATTCGAAGCGAGTGGTTTGGTCTGCAAGACTGCTGGGGCTTTTACATGCAAGAGTCCCCCAAACAACGTTCTTTATACTCTTCAATCTGACCCAGATCAAATGTCTGTATGTCCGTGGCAGCGAGTTCGGTGGATCTCAAAAGTGATGGCAGATCAGCAACCAGGGGATTCACGCACTCTCTTTAAGCCAACATCTCGTGTCCACCCGTATTTTATCAGGAGGGATTCCTGTGTGTAGGACCACAAGCATGCTGAACATTCCAAAAAGTATCTTCAAGGGGCCTTGAGTTTTGCATATATATATATAGAGAGAGAGTTGCCTTGAAGTTCCAAAAGCTTCCTGCAAAAGCTGAACCTGAAATCATAGAACCTGGGCATGAGTGACCAATTAGAGTCTACCGTAGGCTACCTCGTGCTTATAAAGTAATATAATCTCAATATCTTAATAATAAAGTAATATGTGTAAACCCAAACACTCCATGGGACTGCCATATAAGCCGCCCCAGATAGACCCCCAGTCAACCACCCAAAAGGCCGTTTCTCGGCAGTCCGGACTGGCAGTCCCACATGGACCGTCGTGTCTGGGAAATCACGAACGTGATGAGAACTGACGGTGGAGGATCAAAGGAACATCCAATGGCGTCTGAAAATGACCAGACCTGGTCCCAGGGGCTTCACAGGCCGATGGCAGATCTGGCTTATTAAGCCGTGACCGAAGCAACCGGGACGATCAAGGGATGGTTAACAGCCGGGCTTCAGGCGGGCGTTTCATGTCAATATATAAGATGTCGTGACGAAGCATCAAACTGATCCAATGAAAACCCATAGCAGCAGTTCCATGCCGGGGTGCCGAACGACTGGAGGATAGGTGATAGGAGTGCCCCTGTCACATCCCCTCACTTTGTGATCCAAAAAAAACACCCTTTTGCGACTCCTGGGACTTATTCATTCCTTTCACTGCCAAACCAAGTGGCCAACCCACCAATGAGCAGAGCCATCGGATGGCCAAATCAACGGTCTCGCGAAGCCGGTCCTGCGACCGGAAGCGGAACCAGCAGTTCCCTAGCTTACAGTGGTTTTCAGAGTAGCTGGCTTTCAGAGTAGAAACAAACACTAACAAACAACAATCCCCGTGCAGTGGTCTTTCATGTCTTTATTGTATACTGAGTGGTACCCCACCAATTGACGTTGGTTTCAGAGTAGATGACACTGGCACTACAAGGTATCTTTTAGATAGATAGGGGTCCACTACTAAACCACCGAACTTCGGGGCCCCCCCAGACGTGCCGTCTCACCTCTGATGGCCCACTGGAATTGGTGAACTCCAACAACTCCACACGCTCCATGGTCACTGGAAGAGTTGCCTATAGACAAGTCCTGTCAGTCATGGCATCCAAAGCTCTGAAAAATCCCTGGTAGGTAGACCTTGTCTTGTAGTCTATAGCTGTTAATTTTCCATGGAAAAAAACCGTCGGTAGCTCCCGGTGCTATGGTTGGGCATCTCTTCTCCAGTCCCATCCAGCTGGGAAACGACTGGGACGGGCGTCCGACCGGAGTAGGTGGTTGGAGATCCCTGGAGGCAGTGGGCGGGTTCGGGAATTCGCCTGGTCGGCACCTCTGAGAAAAGCTTCACTTGGAGGGTCCAGGGCTCGAGGATTTGGGCTGGACGACTTGCGCCTAACTGCCACTTGCAGGGCCTCCGAATAGCAATTAAACACCCGTTCTGAAGTGATTCTGTTTTCTGTTATGAGGCTGTTCTTTGGGGCTGTCGAGTAATGTGCCAACTCCACACAACCTATGACCTATGGATGTCTGAGTGTCTGTTTAAATAAGGAGACCCTGCAACCATTGGTCCTTAATCTATTTTGCACACAGTCATGTCTCCTTTCCTAATCTTCCCACTTTCAGATTCCGGCAACATCGCCGCAGAATTCGTGTCTTCCCGAAGAAATTCCCGAAACTCGCTGCAGAATTGGTTACGCTATCACAGGTGTCAACAAGACACCAAGAATTGTACCCATGGTGAGCGAGGCGGTTGTGTGTGAGTGAGTGAGTCGGTTGGGAGCCTAACCCTCGGATGAAATAGATATACCGGCCATGATCTACCTGACTCCTGGTTTGGAGCCAAAATACCATACAAGGCATTGTCCACTTCCATGTTACATGTTTGTTGGGGGATGATATGTTCGAGCACCGGCGACTCGCAGATGCGACGTGGGTCTCCAGGAATCCAAGGTCATCAACTGAAAGAGCGACAGCATGGAATGAGGCACGTCTTTGAAGTACTCCTTCGGATGCGCACCCGGACGTCCGGTAGCCGTTGGTTGGACTGTTCGTGACTCGTGGGATTCTCATGGCGCCGGACGTGGACGTGGCTACTTGGTAGGGGAAAAACTCGAGGTTGGGGGGCTGGATGGAGGTTTTGGCATGGGGGGAGCGACTGTAGGATCTCTTGTGTAGGCACATAAGAACCTTGGCTCGAACCATGGCATGGCACAGTCAAGTGCTTGCATTCTCATCATCGCAAGTACTGCGATGCAAAAAGGCTCCGAATACAAGTTGAACACATTAATCCCTGGGGTTCCAACTACCTCCTGAGAAGGTAGTTGGGGTGGGTGACAGGTGACAGGTAAGATAGAATTCCTGTCTAGTTCCGTACGTTCCTGCAGTGGCAGGACCGATGAGTCGGATGGCAAGAACATCCTCTACCAAATGGTTGCGTGTCAATGACTCCAAAACTCCAAGATGAATAATTACTGGATGTCACCTGCTTTGCTGGCATGAAAAACTTCTCAAAAGTTCCAAAGAACAGTTCCAAAGATCTATATAAAGGTTGAACTTCTGTGAAGTTCTGATGAGAAAACCATCCAAGACTAAGACACAACTGTTCAGTTCCCTCACTTTTCTCAGTAGCAAGCCCCTATGGTTCAACCCTTCGGTGTTCTCTATGTGACCACCAGTGACCACCAGCTATACGCAGCGATCCAGCTCCTCGGCGATGGGGCCGGCATCTGCGTCGCTCAAGAACATGTCGACCTTCCCAATCATGGCCGTGGCAATGATGGCGAAGAAATAGAGCACACAGCCCTGAGAGGCTGCAGTTCCAGCGCTGAACTGCAGTTCAGTTCCAGCGGTGTTGGAAATCAAACCGGAAAAACAAGTAAACAAACTCCATTTACGGCATTTTGTGGGTTGGTTGTGTCTCTTCGACAATTCGGTGAGGCTTCGGCAATCCACAAGGTCAGGTAGAAAAGGAATAATATTGAACCTAACGATAGCTGACAAGTAAGGGTACTTTGGACAGATGGCAACGAAAAGCAAGGCAGTTTGCAGTCTCCTGGTTGTTCTCAGATCCTTAACTAGTGTTGGTCTCAAGGTACAATCTCTGGCTCAATGGAAGTTTTGGGACCCGGAACTCCTGGCAAAGACGCCAGGGATTGAAGTCGGCTGAGTCCTGACAGTATGATCGAGTATGATCGATCAACCTTGCATGAGTTTCAAAGATAGTTTTTTCGTTAGTTGTGGGGCTCTTTAGGTCCTGAAATGTCTTGTGGCTCCCAGCTGGTTGAGATCCTGTGATCCTGTAGCCCGCCCTCACAACATCTCTCTCATTGGTCAAGGAGCGATCATCACATAGGTCCAAACCCTGAGTCACGCGGTGGCAGTGTGGGGCGGCAATTCTGCTGACCCTTCCTGGTTCTTCAAAAGTGCAAGCAGTGAGTTTGGCAGAGCTCAAGAGCTCCTGTCTCAAAAGAATCAAATAAGATCAAATAGACACACAGCAAGGGTGCCATCTCTGCAGTCTCCAAATAGATAGAGGTTACAAAACGCGTACTTGGAAATCTACTCATCTATCTTGGAGAGAAACGGCATTGAACAATCATATGTACTGGAAAAAAAAAAAAAACATCTGACAAGCTGATCAAAATGTTGCCTCCAAGCGCGAATATGGTGGCCCCTCCAAAAGCTTTTGGGGCACTAAAACCTCGAAAAGGCTGAACTTGAATTGGTCAAGACTTGGCGCTGGAACTAATCGGTGCTCGGGCAGAAAAAGAAGCTGCTCAAGCCACTCGACATGGTCGGTGAAATTCCAAAAGCCGTGCTTGGAAGGTCAAGGAAATAGATTCGCAAAAAAAGGGTCTAGGAAGTTCCAGCTTCAATTCTTGCATGTTGCTTTTGTTGTTTTATCAAATCACATTCAATCCAGGGAATTCTCATGGAAGTGGATGGCATGGCCCCGAAAGGAACGGATGACCATTTTACGAATACCAAACAGGCGGTGAATTCCACTTCCACGATGATTTCAGGGACTTTACTTCAGGTTTCTGGTGCGGATGTGCTCAAGTGTTTGGCCTATGTACCTTTTAGGTTCTTTCACAAATGATGATAATGAAACACATATTTTCATCTGAATATGAAGTGAGTTCATCCCATCTCACTGACCTATAAATCATTCATAGGAGAAACGCCCATGATGACCTATATCTTCGTCCATCTCCCTTGACCAACCTCTTTGAAGCCCAGAAAACCCAGGCGGTTTCTCCCGCTCAAGGCCCACTCCAATTCCAGGCAGAGCTGGCCGATATCGCTCGGTCCCACGCCAAGGCGCAGGGTCTCACCACACTCAATGAGGCCCTTCATCAAGAACCACATCTCGGAGAACTCAGGTCGCCTCAGCGAAAGGCGGAGCAGCGGAGCAGGTGGTTCAGCAGCAGCTGGGTGGAACAAAAGGGCAGCAGCTGGGGCACCGCAGCTGAGTGGTCCACATCACCATGGACATTAGACTCAAGCTGGGGATCTTTCAAAATGCACTCCAAATCCCTTTGGGGGTGTTTTCAGCGCTCCACACATAAACGTCGATCGATTCTCGCTTTCACATCCCATCCAAACATCCGAAACATCCGTCCTAACGTGGAGAAGAAAACACCTATAGCATACAGAGGGGACGAGCTGAGCTTCTCCCTTCTGTCTCAAGGGTCCCAAGGGCCATTCAATTCAAGACATCAGTCTTAAAGGCTCGAGCTGCTCGAGCTTCTCCAAATGGGTGTGGTTTTGGATAGCATTGGACTATAGTATAGCGAGAACCCCCCCAACCAGGCTTCAGAGTGTTCTCTTTCTGGTGCATGAGTGGGGTCTGGGCTGGGGGTCTGCCTTTTCTAACACTCTCTCAAGTACGGTATCCCTATGCTCTACAAGCCATGTCCATGATCTTTTGAATGCTATAAGGCAAACCGCTAAATGCCATTGACTGATCCCTTTCAAAAAATAACCAACAGCAGCAACAAACATGATTCGGTCTTCATTGCGTGCGAGGTGAAGTAAGTCCTAACCCCTCTTTTTGGAAAAAAGAGCACACCCAAAGCTGTTCCAAAGCTCGAGGTGAACCAAAACCACCTGTCGGCCGGCCTGGCCCAGGCCTTGACCGTCCACGGAACGGGATTGTCTCAGTCAGCTCACCACGCCAAGCCCCTCGCCGAGCGTCAGTCTCACCGCCCGCGCCAAGCGTACCAGCCGCAAGGTTCGAAGGGCCGTGAGCTTTCCTCGGAGGAACTCAGTGGAGTTGGTCGAGTCGGGTGCGGTGCTGAGATGATCATGGGCATGTCGCGTGCCCGAACAGGCCACGCGACATGCGATCCTGTGACTAGATGTGACGAACTAGTGTCCTGATGGGTGTGTGTGTATCCTCGATGATATGATCAGTTAAACCAAACATAAATGGGTGGTGCTACATGTTCAAAAGGAAAAGGGGGGTGGTCTCTCTGCTGCAGCTCCCCTGTCATCCCATGGTCATCAGGTTTTAAGGCTAAGAGAAGTTGGAGGCTCAAAAGTTGGATGGAACAGTTCCAAAAGAAGAAGGGCCCTGCCGGACTTGCTTCGAGGAACTAAGTCCTTTCAGATATTTTTCTTCTACGGCAAGTGCAGTAATGTGTACTGTAATTCTTTTTAGGGGGGCGGGTCTAAACTCCCAAAACCTTCCCTCCGCATAGAAGAACAAAACACCCCGCCATTTCGGTGCGGATCCGCATGCACAACATGCCACAGGATCCATACAGGTCAACGGCATTGGTTCGGAGGGTTCTGAAGAGTTCGACTGAAGAGTTCGACAACTTGTTACTGGAGTGAACTCACTCACTTGGTTGCGGTCCACATTCGATGTCTTTTGACCAATATCAGTGAAAGGAAGGCTACTTGAGAAAAGCTGCCGCTCACCGCTCCTTTGGTCCTTTCATTCATGATCCTTGTAGATGCTTGGATTCCGTCATGAAGAAAATTCCTCCTGTATAGTGTATCTGTATGGTTCAACCGCAACATATCTAGACGGACAGCCGGAATAAGCCTTGAAAACTCCCTTGACAACACCAACAGACCCTGCGGACCCCGCGGGACCAGCCGAGGTTCGAAGAAAATCGATCTGTAGACCTCGGATGCATCATGGATGATCAAAAAAACAAGCTCCTGCGGCCCTGCAAACACTTATACCGTACATCCTATGTCATTTGGATGGGGTAAATGTGTATGTAACTATGTAACTAGTCACTGTTTAACTAGTCCAGTCCCATGGATAGAGTGGGAAGGAACAAGTTGATTCAAACATAGCAGCTTCGGGATTCTTCTCAAAATCTACTGAGGAGTATACTGCAACACGGCTGACTCTGCTTTTGGGATTGTGGCCCTTGGTCTTGGCCTAGGGCCTATGTGTTTGCTGGAAGATGTTGCATTCCCACACAACACAACTCAACACTGAAAGAAACAAGCATGGACATGGAAAGTAGTGGAAAGGCATTTTGCTTGTGCCAATTCGTCCCACTCAAGTCCACTTGAAGCACATGTGTTCTTAGGAATTGTTTACACCGGCAACAAGTGAACACGGTGAGGAGACATTATGGACCGCCTCCGAAATAGAAGTGCATTCCAATAGCCCTTAGGGAGAACGAAAAAGGATTCACCTTCGCTCTATTGGGGTCAGTATGGATGGATCCCAAACAACTCTGCGCCTGCGGTCACATGATTTGGATCTCAGCCGACCGGTCGAACGCCGCGACGTATGTCTTCGGTGTCCGCCTTCCACTTCCGGGTGCCAAGGCACCAAACAAGCCAAAGACCCAGGTCGTTAAGACACCAAGGAAGACCAAGAAGACGTCCAGCCAGTTCTCTCCTGCCAGAGACGGACTGCAGGGTGAACAAGAGATGGACCAGGAAGAGAACCTGCTCTTTGTCCCACTTTTTGTCCCTATATTCCCTATAAGGCTCCTGGCCCATATTCTCGGTGGTCACCCCCTCCTTACACCCACCCTGGGGATGTAGTTGGAGCCCTAGGGATTATCACTCAAAAACGGCCTCCGACAGCCTTGGTTTAGAGCTTGACCGCGGCAGGAAACTGTAGCACACTCGAGCCGCTTGGCGTTCTCTAGGCTTTTGGGGGGTCATAGGTCTTTGGCGCCAAGGAGCTGGCACACAAAGACGTCCATCCCCAGCAGAGCGTTGATAAAGTGAGCTCGATCTGGGCAAAGCGCACTGTGCACCACAGGGACCGGCAGACCAGTACCACACGGCTTTGGAGTGACTGATGGTACGAGTTGCTTCACCTATAGCTGCTAAGAAGGAGTACGTAAGTCCAGATCCATGATGTTTATATAAGCTTAAACATACAACTACAAACATCGAACATAATATGTATCTGAATCTGTATATGTGCCACTCAGTCACTCCACCTCTGCAATACAAACGAAATAAATTCTAAGTGCTGGAACTGGGGACATTGCCTATCTGTCTCAAAATGTTAAGTGAACTGGACTAGGCCTGGATAATCCTGGATATCCAAAATAGAACTCTATATAGAAGATCACTACTGTAAATGATTATGTTTAACATGTTTTAAAATGAATATATGACTTTGGGGGGGGTTGCAATCGAGGCCGGCTGCGGTGAGGGTAGAGGTTTTGGGCCCCCTCCATCTGGTGCAACCATGTCCATCCTAAGTTTGAATGGAGGGCAAACCGTTCCTATTGGATCACTGCCTGTTGGATGTCTTAAAATGCCTTTGCTGGGCTTTCCCCCAAAAATGACGCTCCGGAAAACCGAGCGAACGCACCGAGAACGGCGTCGTTCACCTTCACCCACCCGGAACCTTCTCCGTGAGTGAAACACTCGGAGCGACGGATTCTTTGGTCTGGGCACGACAAAGGCAGAGGTGAAAACCTGCTCGAAGATGAAGGAGATCTGCCTATATCGTGGTCGCACACGGCACAAAGAAGCCACGTGTTGCGGCGTCAACACGTTTTTTTCAGCGCGGGTGTTTCGGAACACCGTAACACCCGAGGTGGGACGACCCTCTCGTTGTGTTTTGGAGCACTTTCATTGGAAGTAGCCTGATGTGTTTCAATGCTACAAACCTGTAAAAAGGGACAAAACGGTGGTTTCTGAAAATCAACACTTTCGTGGTGCCTCCGTCGCAGGAGAAGGGACGGTTGGAAACCCAGTAGAGCTGGGATGGGGATCGAAGGACTTGTGCGCCACAATGCCTCTGCCCCGTCTCACTGACCCGCCCACAAAACAAATGCAAAGTACACAGTTCTGGGACTATTTAAAATATGTTAACATGTCTTTATAAATGTTATATATATATATATATGAAAACTAATTTGCATTTCAGTGGTGCCACATATAGTCTTTGAACTTCTAGGGCACTCTAGCAGAAGGTAACAAACCGTGTTGAATCGTTTTGATACTTTTAACGTGCGTCCAATTTCTGTCGGGTAGCTCTTTCTCCGGCGTGGTGTTCTTGGGGAGCAGATTTTCAGCCTGCCATCCCACCACGAAGGTATTGCAAAAGATCACAAAGTTTCCTCAGCACAGGCCACGGATCACGGGCACCAAACATGGCATGTGTCCATGGTAGAACCTGGGCTTCTTCTCGCGCACAGGACTTCAGGTCGGATGACATGGGCGCAGATTATCGCTACTTCGAGGCTCGCGCCATGCTTCCGCTTTCGCCTTTTGGGCCGAGGATCCCCAGGCTTCAAAGCTCGTACTGTTGACAATGGTTCGGATTCGAGGAAAGGGGTGAGGCATATCAAAGTCCATGGCCCTGGCCTCTTGCTCCTGGCAAGCTGGGTCTGGGTCAGGGCACCCGGAGCCGTGGGGACCCCCGGTAGGTTGACCTCCCGGGTCGGTCTCCCGGTATGGAGAAGTTCTTGAGTCTTCCAGTCAGACTTCAATCAACCCTGGCTCGAAGCACTCGATCAAACAAGCCAGCTACTTACACATACCAAGCACTTAAGTGATCTATTTTATTTACAGTATAATACACTGGGGTGCCGAAAGTGGCGCTTCTTGACTTCAAAAACGGGACAAACCCTTTCCCCTTAGAATCCTACGTGCAACATGTCGACACCTAAGTTGCGGTCAGATTTCCACACCTGAAAGCCTTATAACTTATAAGTATTCTAAGTTTAAAACGGGTGTGGAAATCTGACCGTGATGGGCGTGTCAATCCGATCCGCTGTAGACCGCAAGTGTCAAGTTGGAACAGAGTAAGAAGCGTAACTTTAGGGTTCTTGAAGTATGTACATTGACCCCCTGACCCCCCAGTGTAGCTATAAACTGTTAAACAATGCGAAATAAAATAGCAATTGTCATGGAGGGTCTGAAATGGTTCAGACCTCGAGCTTCGCTTTGAACCGTTTCAGACCGTCTTCCGGGGCGACGATGCGACGTTCTCCGGAGAAGTTCCGTTCGGCCGGCCTCATGTGCTTGGCGCACGCAGTCATGTGCTAGTTTTGACCCATGGTGTGCGAAGACGCACAACAATGTGTTAAGAACATAAGCAGCCACTTGTTTGCGCTCGAAGCAGCCACTGGTCGAGCCAAACACTTGCAACACAAGATGTTTAAAAAGAAAGGTATGTGTCGACCACGAAAGCATCAAACAGTTATGCCACCTAAAGATTGGATTCTCAGAAGGCGTTAGAACCTACTCCCCTGCAGAGGACCACATGGAACCCAAAACCCACTGGGTTGGCAATCGGAAAATGGTTGCGTCGGGTCAATTGTCAGGTTTCATTTTAGTTTGCGAGCGGGTATCCTTTGCATGGTCTAATTTATACAAACCGCAGGTCTACCTGGGTATACCAATGCTATACCTGGATCTTCCAACTATGCAAACTTTCTACCGAACTTGTCTGGTTTATGGATGAAAAGGCATATATACTACGGAGTGTGAACATCCAGGTATTGTCTATGGGCAGCATCCAAGTATGAAACGACACAAAGAAGCTCTACACGTCCCCTGAAAGTGTCCCAAAACAACCTGCATGGTTAAATAGAACAAACGACTCACTTGATGGGAAAGCAACTGAGAAAAAAGACTCAAACACCACCGTCCCACGCAAATGAGCATCATTATGAAAGGCCCCCACCTTGCGCTTGTCGGCGAACCATTTCTGGAAGTTTTTTTGTCGCCTCCGCGGCGGTGCGCTTGTCGCTCTGGCGACTGGGACCGTGCTGGAGGCACTACATGTTCTACTTGTAGGGGAGCCAAAGCTGACCTGTTTCTACATTCTACTGTCCACCAAACCCCAAACCTAGCGAATGTATAGCTACCGCAAGCAACCACTGAAATAGCTTTAAAAACAACAACACACCGTCGTTGTTCCATATGCATGTTGTTCCACTGACATCGGCTTGGCCGCTGAACAGGGAAATGTCCAATGATAGAAAACAAAGGGATATTCGTAGTCTTCAGGACTTCCAATCTGTGGAAACTGCCCTCTTCACCCCCCTTCCACGTTTCTTCAAGCCAAGTGTCTCCCAGAGATTCCACAAGCAGTTCTTGAAGCCGGTGACACATCCTGCCAGCGGCTGAAGAGGTCTTCTAAGATAGAATCGAACGGCCTTTGAACCCCAAACACACTCTCCCAACAAGAAGGCGTTCCAAAGTCAACAGTTCCGGTGAATCTGTTGCGTCACTTATGGCCATGTTCCTCATGTCATCTTTTAAGCTGCATGGCAATAGAGTCTCCGTTCAGCATCGAAGTCTGTAGTCATATTGTAGAGATCAACAGATCAACATAGTGCAGCTAGAATCAGAAGTGACGTGTCAACATATATATCATATATCCCTGTTCTGGTCTCAAAAGATTGTCCATATTTATCATTAGCTTTCACCAAATGATCACCCAACCTTTTCTTGGGAGGCCCAAAACCCTCCCACGCCACAGCGCAACAAACGGAAGTTGGCCTCGGTACAAGCCGCCAAAGTCACCGGTGATGAGGTAGTCCAAGCACTTCCTTGGATTTGCTGTATAGGGGGGGAACAAAAACGAACAGAATTCACCAGAAGGGGATTCACCCAAGCTGGAAAATACACATACAGTACCTGGTTTTTCAAGGTGAGCTTTTTGATATCACAGTTTGAGGTCACAGGTCACTTAGGCACTCCAAAGAGGTCACTTTGAAGAAGCTGGTGCACAAAACTCGCCCTTAGGCAAAACCAAGCTTCTCACAGCGGGAGCTTTGATCCAACTCTTCTGCGCGCGGAGGGAAGGCGGAGGTGTCGGCGGTGGCCGTGGCAGAGAGGGAGAGGCAATGAGAGGAGTGAGCTCGTCTGGGCTACACTGGGTTGGAATGAGATCCTACCTGGACCTTCTTTCGGGGTGTCCTGTCTGGAGGTCCCTTAGTGGGCTGGGGCGAAACCAGCCAGGTGACCCCGACATGAAGGCATGTCGCTTCTAGGTGTCCTCATGGACTGAGACGGTGTCCATGTGCCAACGGTCGCCCCATACAGAAAGGACGCGGTCAGCGAGGACGGACCGTGAAACAAGCTAGTGGGGACCATGAAACCATGGTATGGGGAGACAATGATACCATGAAAGCATATGAAAGCAAACGTGGGCTCCCAACCATGTGGTTTTTCATGGTGGGACTGACAATATAAGATCCTTTTTAAACATGTGCAGCCCGACCACGCGAAACCTCACGAAATCTCACGAAAATATCACAGTCAGAGTGATCTTGCCTAAATTGCTCTGACTCCGGTTCACGGTCTTGGTCTTCACCTTGAGCTTCTTCTGGCTATCCTGGGCAGGTTTACCATGCTGGACGCGTCAACCTCGAAACAAACAGGTCGAGACGGACCGACCCGTCTTTTGGCCATTCTGGACGAGTTGATGTAGACACCTGGGATATCCTGGGATGTTTGACTATAGGTTTTGACTGGAGTTGCATACAAAAACACTATGAACATGAGGTCTGAAAGGGATCAATTGTCAAACCAGACTTGCGGGGCTTGGGATGGAAGAAACACCACGGATGTAACCCAAAGCACTCCATGTTGATTGGCAAATATGGACCTATAACACACAAAGTCCACCCCCCGAACGTAGGTACCTGGACCTTCCAACTACCCAATCATGAATGGTCCTTTCAGTCGTTTTGATGCGTTTTGTGTTGTTTTTGCGGATTCTTGTGGTCATTTGCAGGTTGTTGCGCACTTTTTTTTGCACGATTTGCGGTCGTTTTGTCATTTGCACTGATTTGCGGCTGTTTGCGCGGAAAACCGGGGCAATGACCAAAACGACCAGCACTTCTTGGTTGTTGGAAGATCTCATGTAGAGATCCAATGGATGGTCTGAGAGGCAAAGTCGACCAATCAGGACGAAAATGACTTGCAAGTCGACAAGTGTGTGTCACGAGTGACGTGTTGAACTGGGTGTGTAGCTATTAACCCGTGTAGGTTCCTGGCCCACCTCCGTTTCGGTTCGGTGGCTGGGGTGGGTGCTCTTGGGGTCTAACCACCTTCTGAATCCTTCTGAGGATATGGTTGGAGCCCTAGGGTAAAATCGGGAGGCCTCCCAGTTTGACCTTCTGGAAGAAGGGAAGAAGGATGGAATATGTGGTTTTCCTAAGAAACATACACACACGTCACGTCCCATCATTTGGATCAATTTTGGCTCAACATTGAAAAAAACACGACCTCCAGTTCACGAACTCCTGACCTATGCCAATCCAGGTCTCTTTCCCTGCACTTCCTGGCATCGCTGAACATTTGGCGGTCTGAAAAGTTGGGATCCTTTCCACAACCTCTAACAGTGGATGAGATGTTTCTTGATCCAGGAGCCGTCACTTGAAAAAAATGATAATTATTACAGTATACACTTCAGGCTGTTACAACTTACAACCTCCTGTCTCGGACCCCAAGGCATAGTTGTCTCAGAAGAAAAAACAAACAAAACACTGTCCACCCTGGCTGCCGAAGCTTCCGAAGCTTCCGTCAAGCCGACAGCTTTCAAGAGGAGTCGGATCCGAAGACCGCCAGTCAGTGTGTCATCCCGAAGCCGGAACTGACTCAAAGTGTTGGAACATGTAGGATCCATTTTAGAGGAACACTTGCCTTACTGCAAGCTGTTGTGGTTTGGGGTTCAATGACCTGTTGTCATTTGCGGGGTGAGAGATGCTCTCTCAACACCACTCAGCAACAGTTGGTCTCGATATGTCTCGATCAGCACAGCGTTTGCTCGGGCACCCAATACATGCTGAGATGCAGAACACATCTGCGAGCCTTTTGCAGTATCAGTACATTTTTTAGGTAGGATAAGGCACCAAACTTCTGGACGAAGAATAAACCTTGACTTCAGAGTCCACATGTCTCTCTCCCTTTACTGTCGATACTCTGCAACATATAAAATAACATATTGTGTGTGTGTTTCTTGTTTTTACATTGTGCATTGTTGTGCTAATATTGCTACTGTTTGCTAAATTATTGCTAAATTAATTGTTTCAATACCTGGAGTCGACTCCTTGACCAAGTCAAAAATCACGATGGACTGTTGATGGAACCACAGTACAACCGCATTGAACAGCTCCAGTTTCTCTGTGAATGACTCGGGTTTCTACATTCCTTCCACGTACTTCCTATCTCCTGGGAAGAGAAAGACCGAAGCAAACAGCTCAAAGAAAAGACCTGTTTCTTATTGCTCGGTCCTTTAAACACTTCACTCCGTCTTTACAGCTTCTCCCCTCCTCAGTCGCGCGCCCCTTGAGGCTGTCCTGGGCGCTCACCGGTGGCCATGACACGCGAGCCCTTCGCCTCGGGCCGCCCTCCTCAGCCCTGCTCACGTGGGCACGGCATCGCGCCATGTGCCAAGCTGTCGGGTGCCGAGCTGTGGCTGATGAGGGGCGGACAAATGCACTGAAGTTCTTTGGTATCCTTTTTGTTGTGAGTTATCTTCTTTTTTTGAAGGGTGGACTATGGCGGACATGAGTTGGAAATGGAAGGAAAGGCGGGGATGTCTGAAATCTGCTGGTGATGGGATCGCATGACGGCATGGCCTTTCTCATTGGAATGCCAATGGATGATCTGCTTTTCTTCTATTTGCTTCCATCTCTGTGTTCAGCGCTTTTTCTTTCAATCAAGCTGGTGAAGACACACCCACTGATCATCTTCCCCATGACTCATGACTGAATCTCAATCATGAGATATTATGAGGGTGCGTTTTGAGCCCTGCTTGCCACATGCTCATCCGCCCGCGAAGCATCGCCCCTTCCAAAGTGCTTGCTAGTTAGGATCTTTGCACAGCGTGACCGGCATGGCGTTTTAATTGGTTTCGAAGGCGGTTTTATGTGCTGGACACAGGAGGTTGGATTTGAATGAACCAACTGGGCACATCTGCCCACCCCGTCCAAGTACACTGCTTTCTCCCGGTCAGAGTCAAGAACAATAAAACACCTCGTCTACAAACAACCAAGACACCCATGGCACATCCATTTGCATCTATGGTCGCTTTGCTCTTCTTTCTTGTATGGGTATATGATATGCTCTTCTTGAACGAGACAAATCACGGTCGGAGTGGGGCTCAACAATTTGCCACCATAGCATGGAAATGGCCAACGAAGGAACACCAAGCCATTCCAAGCGTTCCATCCAGGAACTACCTGCTTCCCAAATCCCGTGTGCAGCTGCCTTCTGAGCGTTCAGAGAAACATCCTCAGCCGTGGTTTGGCACACCCTTTGGGTAGAAGTTTGGCTAGATGTGGTGCTTAGTCATCAGCAAGCTGCTTGCTGAAGCTGGATGCAATTCGCTGCCAGTGTTTTTTTGAATCGCATACTGTAATTGCGTGCGTTGCATTCATTGGGCTACATTGTAAAATCGGCTTTGGGAAAGGCTACACTATAAGTATAGAAACGAGGTTCCCTGACGGTCTTAATGGTTAAAAAGCTGTACTGCAGCTATGCAAACTAAGCTTTCGTAAGCTTTCCTATAATTAAACATGATGCATCATGATGCCATCAATATGTTTTTGTTTTTTGATGAGTGTATTATCGTTTTCCAAGTAAAATGCAAATTCTGCAATCCCAATGTCGGGTCCTTTACTTAAATAGCTTTCCGAAAATAAATCAGGTTGCTCACATGAATTTGCGCGCACACTCCAACTGATTTGACCAACCCCTTAGAAAAAAGGACGTGAAACCAGGGAGACACTCCATCCTTGGGATGGCGCCCGAAGACCGCTGCCCCAGCCTGTTGTCTGGATGTGGATTTGAAGCCACCTGCACCCACTCCTTCATCCAAGACTCGGTGGACTGGGCTGGGACTCCCAGGGCTCCTGGGCATTTCACCAGCGCAGCCGTGTGTCCCGGGAGCCGAGGAATCCCCGCGGAGCCACCGGTGCGGTGTGTTTTCGGTGTTGGGGGGGCGAAAGCAGGTGATCATAGGTGATTCACGTATACTTCCTTGGTAGGGACCGACCCAAGGACGTTTTGCTCCAGTTTCCGACTCCTGGTCCGGCTGAAGTCGGTCCATGGGTGGTTTGTCCACTTTGACACGTGGCCCGTGGCCCCAGTTAGGTAGCCGTCAGGTAGGTAGCGGTCGCGACAAGCACACGCGATCGCCCTGAGGGTTATTTTGAGGGAAGTGACCTCGATCAGTTTCTCTCGTCTCAAACCGGCCCACTGAACTGAACCAGTGGTCATGAAGAGGCATGATAAGGCATAGGCATAGGTTCAAGGGGGTAGTGAGGTTCATGCGGTCGTGAGATACTCGTCAGCATCATCATTGAGGTCGTACGTCCAACCGTCCCATCCGATGCTCCCACAGCGACATAGCGACGAGGCGGAGCTTCTTCTAGTAGCGGGTAGCTCAGTAGCTGCTGCCGAACCGTTAAGCGGTTGGGAGAAGCTTTTCCTTTTTAAGTTCTGCCCCCCCTTGAAACAAGCTTCTGAAATGTGTGAGAGGTCCCATCAGAAAGAAAACCAATTTTTGATGAGTTGAAGAAGTATAGTTGTACCGATTCAAAATGCTTTAGATCAAGCATTAGATCAATGATTTGGAACTCATGTTATAGATACTGCAACTCTTATTCGTTCACCTGTTGACCACGTGACCACCCGGTTGGTTCTGCCTCCACCGAGAAACCTCCGAGAGGTCCCGACCCGCACAAGCAACTGGTGCGAAGACTTGTCACCGAGGTGCTCGCAGCGCCAGGGTAAAACCACACAGTCCTTGCAGTCCATTGACCTGCGAAGCAAACCCGGAGCCAGGGGATCGTGGCGGTTCGCAATGGTATTTCGTGTATTGTTCCATGGATATTGCTGGTGAGCAATAACATCATAACAATTCGTAAAATGATGTCTGTCTCCTGAAAATACTCTACTTCCAGCTATCTCCATCCCAAATACAGCTGCTTGCCGAGCACATGGTCAGAATGCAGGTGAGAAGTGAGAAGTCAGAACACACACACACACACACATACGTGGTCAGTTGCTGTTGTCACATGTTGCCACTTACAGTAAGTCAACATGCAAAAAACAGGCGCCCCCGGCGCCCCCCGAAAAAACAACCAACTCGTCGCCCCCGTCACAAACTCACTGGCGCACCGGTCTGCGAAAGCGGGGATCGGCTCGCGCACCGGTCTCAGGATCCTTGCAGAGATCGAGCTGTTTGTAGTTCCCGGTATAGGGTCATTAGCTGAAGAGGTTTCGGTATGGGGTCCAAAATGGTGCATGTCCGTTTTTGTTGGCCGTTGAGATGTGGAAACATCTCACATGTTGGCAATTGACGCACAAGCGGTGGTAGTTTCTTCGCCGACTGGCAGACATATAAGAGATCCCTTTGCATTTCCTCCGTACGCCTTCATTCGAAAGACGAGCCAGTGGTTCATTCGCACGACCAGCTGGTTGTCCAAATCAAAACCCACTGGGTTTTAGCACCCCAAAGTCGTTCCAGTGGGGCTCTTGGTATAATCATGCTCTGTCCAGAACTCTGATTCTTGGTAACCTGCTTCAGAGTCATTGTCTCTGGAAGTCAATGTAATGTCACTTCCAATTCGCGGGTCCTGCCGTGAAATACCTCCATCCACCTAGGGACCTACCCATCCACCACACACACAGCGTTAGGGCCTATAGGGGGAAAGCAATCGTTCACACGCCCGGGAGAAGGATCTCGCTGGTTCCATGGATAGCCATATCCCTGGTGTTCTTTTTTCGGATGACCATGAAATGTTCGGTGGTGGCGTTCATCTTTCTTTCAGTCTTCGTGTTTTCGGGCGCCTTCGTGTTCCCAAGTCCCCCCATCGTATTGATCCCCATGCCGCTCTGCGTTTTCTTCGCCGCCCTAAGCCTCCGAGCACATGGCACTCGGCCCGAGCCGCCCGCCGGACCGCGTGGTGCGGGGGGTCACGGCCGGGCGGCCGGCGGCTCTGTTTTTGCACAACAGTATAGCTGGACACTAGTGAGTTGGACTGCCTGGATTGGAGAGTTGGACAGCAAACCAATGGTCTACCAGGCCCTTCCAAGTCCAGTTTTGGGACACCTCTAGACACCTCTAAGAACATTTGGCTAGTCCATTAGACACTGTCAGGTCAGGTCGTAGAGTTGGACATTCATCAACTCACCGGACCTGTACGAACGACTGCGTCGCTGGGGTCTTCCCCAGAGTCCCTCGCCCCCCTGGAGCCGTTGGGGTCGATGCGCGGCGCGGCGGGAGCAAGGGATTGGAGGAGGGATCGGCTCAGCTACCTGGAAGAGTCCATCCCAAGCTGAACATTTGGACGACAAGGGAAGTGGGAAGAAAACCTTTCCCTAAGTCATGATCAGCTAAGTTCTGATTCTTATAAATAATACTGGATCGAGGTGTCCATCTTCTTTTCACCCCATGTGTTTGACATTCCAAGTTCCAAGCAGCAGCACATGTTCGACCACGAACCAAGTCGGTCAGTGAACATGAATTGGATCATGAATCCGCACAGCACCACCAACATTGTGGTGAAGCTTGGCATTCTCTGACTTTTGCAAGAGGCCAACATCATACTTATTCA